GTGCTGAGGAATCGAACCCAGGGTCTTGAGCATGCAAGGCAAGCGCTCTACCACTGAGCCACCTTCCCAGCCCTGAACCTATAGTTTTAAAAGAGTAAATCAAGTTACAGCGTTTCACTTATATAATTTTATATCCAGTCTTATGCAAAAGGTTGAGAGGTAATCACCTGCCAAATTTTAAAATTCTTATTTAAAATTCTTATTTATTATCCTAACCTGTATATAAAAAACAAAATAATATGTATTAATAAGGTACCATTATGCTTTCATTCTATGCTTTGATACATTTCTGTAATATGTAATGTTTTAGTTAGGTTAAACATCTCTATGTCCTCAAACACTTTCCATTTGTGTATTAAAAAAAAAAAACTTTCAAGATCCTCCCCTTTTCTGGCTTTTATTTTTCTTTTTTGCCAGTCCTGGAGCTTGAACTCTGGGCCTGAGCATTGTTCTTACCACCTTGAGCCACAGCTCCACTTCTGTGCTTTTTGGTGATTAATTGGAAATAAGAGTCTCATGGTCTTTCCTGCCTTGGTTGACATTGAACCACAATCCCTAGATCTCAGCGTCCTAAATAGCTAGTCTTATAGGAGTGAGCCACCAGCACCTGGCTTACAATCATATTCTCACTTTGCTCCAGGCCTCCTTCTAACCTTGAATGTGTTTGTGGGTATCCACAGGCTTTCTCATCTCCTTCTGATCAAATTTACCCTTCTCAGTTATGTCTATACTGCTCAAAGTATTTAAAACTGTGACTCTCACAGTCATATACATATAACATATGTATTATATATCTATATCTATATATCTGTATATGTGGAAACAACTAGGAAAGTTGAAGGATGGGTTTGGTTGGGTAGATGGGAAGAAAATGTTAGGAGAATGCTAGAAGTAGGGGTGATTTCAGTCAAGATGCATTATGCTAATAAATTGATGTGTTGAAACCCCTTAAAGATAATTAAAAATAAATATCTCAATAATAATAATAATATATTCTCTCCCTTCTCTACCTTCTACATTCTCAATCCCCTTTGCCCTGATTTCTAGCAGGTATTACCTTCTAATATGTAATTGTTTATTGCCCATTTCTCATCTTTCAAGCCTTACAAAGGAGGAATTTTTGTCATTTTTACCCCCTGATTACTCTCTCTCTTCGGAAGAAAAGATTAGCGCTTTGTAGATTCACAGTATTTTCATAATTTAGATTTTTTTGAGATGGACTCTCACTATATTCTCCAGGCTGGCCCTGAACTTGAGTTCAAAAGAATCTTCCTGCTCCTTCCTTCTCCATACCTGAAACTATAGACATGCATCAGAAACTTTTCCTCTCTCCCAGATAATGACTATTTTTATGATCTGCTTGCTTACCGTTAAAGCAGGAACCCCGGTGTATGTTCAAAAGTCAAACTTCCTCCTCAAAAAATACCTTAACAACAAGAACAAAAAAAAACCCTCCAAATGTAGGGGAAGGGAAACTCACAACAAAGTCTCACTTCTCAACCTTAGACATAGATTGTTTTAAGGAAGTAATACAAATGGGCAAAAGTGCAATTTCAGAACTGGCTGGGGGTAGGGCAAGGAAGATTTTTATGATTGTTGAGTTTCTGTTTGGGTTTTTTTTTCCTTTTTTGGGGGGTCCAGTCGTGGGTCCTGAACTCTGGGCCTGGGCGCTGTCCCACAGCTCTTCAGCTCAAGGCTAGCGCTCTACCACTTGAGCCACAGCGCCACTTCCGGCTTTTTTCTTTTTGCTTATGTGGTGCTGGGGAATCGAACCCAGGGCCTCATGCATGCAAGGCAAGCGCTCTACCACTGAGCCACCTTCCCAGCCACTTGCTTCGTTTTTTAAGTTCTCAATGGAACTGGACCCCGAAGACAGGCTTTCCCGCCGGAGGAACCACTCACCCGGCAGGGCTGGGCCTCCCCACGGCGCGTCCATCTCAAGCTCGTCCTGCTGCGCGGCGGCCGGGCGAGGGGAGGCTGCCGGGGACACCCGGGCCCGCGGAGGCGGCTCGGAGCCGGCAGCGTCTCCCGGATCCCTGACACCTGCTGTCCTCACGCGAGGGGACCCGCCCCCGCCCCCACCGCTGGCCGCCTCTCACCCGGGGGAGTATCCGACTCTTCCGGATGGCTTTCCTCAGAGGGCGAAGCGGGGTCCGTGTCGAGACTCTGTGGGCTTTGGGCGTCGAGACCCCCCCCACCCCTTCCCGCTCGCCGGGCTCGCTCCGGGCGGTTTGAGGACCCCGCCCCCTGGTCCCGCCCCGCCCCTTGCCCCGCCCCGTGCCCCGCCCCGTGCTCCGCCCCGGCGTGCCCCGCGGCCACGCCCCAGGGCCAGAACTGGGCAAAGGTTCAGCAGCCCGCCCTCTGGGGCGTGGCTGAGGCTGGATCCAACCACTGCCAGCACGGCGTGGGGGGTGTCGGGGAATCACCCAACAGCCCCGCGATGCCAACCGCGATCCCGGCGGCCTCTCCTCCAGGGGGAAGCCGTCGAGTCCTTCCCCCTTCCCCTGACACTTCCCCGGACACGCCTCTCTTCCCGCTCCGACTCCCCCTGCACCCAGGTCCTCCATCTAGACTTGGTACGGCCCGGCTCCTGAGTCACGTGGCTGCGGGGGGCGCGGCCTGCTTGGGGGCGCGGCCTGCTCCGGGCCGGAGTGCTGTCTGAGGCCGCGGCGCTAGCGGGAGCTCCTCCGGGCGGCTGGGACGATGACGGGCCGCCGCTGTCTCCTCTCCTGGCTGTGTGCCGCAGCTGTCACCTGCGCCGTGGCGCAGCAAGCGCCCCCGGTGGGTGAGCTCGAGCCGGGCTGCAGATGGGGGGGCGCAGGTGCAGGCGGGGCTCGGGGTGCAGGTGCGGCGGGCGAGGGTGGGGGACGCGGCGCCGCTCGGCGTGCTCGCTCGGGACGGGAACTCCTGGACGCCTGGGAACGGCCGGGTGTGGTCGGCGCCGCGGCGGAACGGAGGGGAAGTTTCGGGATTCCCAGTTCCCGGCTCCGGGACTCTGGAGCGGAGAAGACGGAACTCCGGGTGAGTTCTCACCTGGAAGCCGCCCGTGTGGGAGCCGGGCCTGGGAAGGCCTGGGGCGCTGGCGGCGGCGCCCACGCCCGTCCTGGGAACGCCTGGCCTGTGGCTCTTTGGAGAAAGCGTGTCACCCAGCGCAGCGCTGTCCCTCCGCTCCTCGGCTGAGGCCAGCGCTCTACCACCTGAGCCACCTTCCCAGCCCCCATAACTCCGTTCTTTACAGACGGGACTCTGGAGTTGTATCACTAGGAACCTGTATCTACCCTTCGGCTAGATGTGGATGACGCCCGGGAGCTTAGGGTATTGAAAGTGGAAGCAAGCTGCAGTTTCCTCTTAACTGTTCCAGAAAGGCCAGCTACTTTGAACATCAGTTCATTACAGGAGAGTTATCATTCAGCCTTTAGAAATTGTGATCTCGGAGGCTGGTGGTTGGTGACTTACAGTTGTAATCCCAGCTACTCAGGAGGTTGAGGTCTGAAGGTAGCAGTTGGAAGCCAGTCCAGACCCTGATCGTTTTCTCCGATTAACCACCAAAAAATGGGAAGTGGAGCTATGACCCAAGTGGTAGAGTTTCAGCCTTGAGCAAGCTCAAGGTCTGGCACATCAAAAAAAAAAAAATAGAATCTGTATCTGGCTGGAGGTGTAGTAATATCTCTGCCTTGCGTGTTTGAGGCCTTGAGTTCAAACTTCTAGAGTATAAGGTGAAAAAAAGTTGAGCTGAATTGGAACAGTAAGGGGGAGGAATGACAATACTTGTTACAGAATTTGGACCTTTTTGGCTTCCTTTTTTAGTATTAACATTTTAAATAATGGCAGAAGTAGATGTTAGGTTTGTCGTATTTTTAAATCTCCTTGGCAGAAGATTTTAAGGCCCGGTTGATAATTCTTCCAATTTTCAAAATTAGCTTGCATGAGTAATACAGCCAGCAGGATGTTTCATTGTAGAATTTCCATCCATGCACACAGTGTATCCCAACCAAGCTCACCTCTCAATTTCTGTCACTTACACCCACCTCCCCTTTAATCCATTGTGTTCATCCTCATTCATCCTCTCTTGTTTTGCTTCCCCACTGACAACTCCCTTAAAATCTCTGTGAATTTTTTTTTTAGAGATTTTTACAGAAAATCTGTTCAGAAAAACCTTAGCACCTACTACATGGAAGTCTAGTGACTTGAATCACTAGAAATTGTTTGTAGTTCATGGTAAACAAAATAACTGCAAAGCAACTTTTTTTTTCTTCTTTTATGGTGGACCCAACCCAAGGCTCCATGTGTGCTAGACAAGGGCTTTACCACTTAAGCCACACCTTTATCCTTTATGTATTTATTTTGTTTTTGAGAAAGGTTCTTACTGCCTCTGCTGGCCTTGAACTAGAGATCTTCCCACGTCTGCCTTGAGGGAAGATATGCACAACACTACAACTTTGTTAAAACATTAATAACGAGGACCAGCTTGAAATAACTCATTTGATTTGGAGTATCTGTGAAGTTTTGTTTGTATGTTTTTGTTTTAGAGGCTTTTCCCAATATGCATATAACGTAAGTCTTCCTGAATTATCGTTAAATTTATAAAGTATCATTTAAGAGATGGTGTTGACCCGAGAAAGGTCTGGAGAAAGAGCCTGGATGATATCATCCAGGGTTCTTTAGGTCTTGTGAGCAGTTCAGGAATTTATCCTAAAAGAAAATAAGAAGCTATTCTGTGGGGGATTTTTTTAGTAATGACCACATAAAAAGAAAATAATAATTTGGATTAGAGGGGAACAAAAATAGGTATTGGTTGATATGAGGAAAGGATTTGAAAGAGAACAGTGGGCATTAAAGCACTAGTAGCATGAAGAGAAGTAGATGTTTCCAAAGAAAATCAGAAAGCAGAATAGAAGAAGAAAGGATTAGATGAAGATCAGGAAGTAATGTGTCAGTTTGAGCCACACATTATGTCCTAGGAAGATGTAGAAAGAAAACTGGACAAAGGCCACATGACTTGAACTTGTTTGTGTCAGAGCAAGAGGAAGTTGGCATAGCTAAAGCATCAGACCAAAGTAAGTGCTGACAGGACACCCAGGGAGGAGATGGGGGACAAGTTGAGTTTTATGAAGATGTGAAGTAGCTATTCAGTTTGACAGATGAAGATTGTTGATTATCTCAGCTTGAAGAGTATTGGTAAAAACTGGTGTTTTACCCAGGCATTGGTGGCTCACATCTGTAATCCTAGCTGCTCAGGAGGCTGAGATCTGAGCATCGCTGTTTAGAGCCAGCCTGGGCGGGAAAGTCCATGAGACTCTTATCTACAATAAACTACCAGAAAACTGGTAGTGGTGCTATGGCTCAAGTGGTAGAGAGCTGAGGGATAGCACCCAGGCCCAGAGTTCAAGCCCCACAACTGACGAAAAACAAAACAAAAAAAATCTACAAACTGGTGTTTTAAACCCCAGGCCCAAAATGTAAGTATTCTGTATGTCAGGTCTGGTGTTTCCTTGCCTTACACGCCAAATAAAGAGACATGAAGAGGGCAGAGAAAGATGGTTTGTTACATGAATAGGGCAGCTATAAGAAGACCGCATTTTAGTCCATCTTTGGGGTACAGACGTGGGCTTTTTTTTTGTCGGTCGTGGGGCTTGAACTCTGGGCCTGGGCGCTGTCCCTCAGCTCTTCAGCTCAAGGCGAGCGCTCTACCACTTGAGCTACAGCGCCACTTCTGGTTTTCTGGTGGTTTATTGGAGATAGGAGTCTCACAGTCTTTCCTGCCCGGGCTGGCTTTGAACCGCGATCCTCAGATCTCAGCCTCCTGAGTAGCTAGGATTACAGGCGTGAGCCACCAGCGCCCGGCCAGACGTGGGCTTTTTGTTTTACAGACCAAGAAGAACTGAGGGTATAGAGAGAAATACATGAATCATGATTAAATGTTCTCAGTCAGCAGTATTGCCTGGCTGACCATTATCTCAGTCTTGCCTATCAAGGGGATCTGGAGAAGTAACCATTTATCATTTGAACAAGTTAGTCACTATTTCCTGATCAGTCATCTTTCCTGAGCCTTTCACTGTTCTCTTTCTTTGGGACAGTTTCAGTTTTTGCCCCATTATAGTAAGGTGAAGGCATTGCCAGTCTGGGATGCTTATAGGTAAATCCTGTCCTTCTTGGAGCCCAGGGTGATTGCAAAGTGTCTGTAGGAAAGAATAACTCAAGAGCTCAGATGCAAACTGGGGGCTCATTATTTATCTTGCGAGCCCCAAGCAAAGAGTCACTCAGTGCTCTTCAGCAAAAGCAGCTGTTAGTGCCTTTGAGTAGATTCCCTAAGACTACAGTGAAACATAATGGCTGAGTACTGAACTGTTGAAATGAACTGTTGAGGATAGCCATTAAATCAGCTTCAGCACTGATTTTCAGAGTTTCAGAAAACAAGGGGCTGGGAAGGTGGCTCAGTGGTAGAGTGCTTGCCTTGCATGCATGAGGCCCTGGGTTCGATTCCCCAGAACCACATAAGAAAAAAGGAAAAAAGCCAGAGTGGCGCTGTGGCTCAAATGGTAGAACGCTAGCCTTGAGCTGAAGAGCTGAGGGACAGCGCCCAGGCCCAGAGTTCAGGCCCCACGACCAGACCCCCCCACAAAAAAAAAATTAGGCAGAGTTTCAGAAAATAAATATATCTCACTAACACTGGCTTCCCCTCTGTTACACTGTGTGGGCTTTCTCCTGCTACTCCACAGGAAAGAACGCACTATCAACTAATACTGTTGCCATCAAGTGTCAGACTCTATCTAAAGGTTAGAAATGGCTCAGTCAACAAGGTAGACGAAGCCTCAGCACTTACAGAGAGCTGTAATATTTCTCTTAAATATTAGCAGTTTAATACTCTCTAATTCAAGCCCAAATGACATGAAAACAGGCTCATTTGAATTACATTTGCAAGAAATACGGTCCTATTCATAAATGTGGCTGGAGATACAGGTCAGTGGTAGAGCACTTGCTTAGCTTGCATAAGCCCTGGATTTGTTCCAGCATCACACACACACACACAATTGCTAGAATTGTTCACCTTTCCTTTTCCATAGTAAAACTACTGTAAGCTATATACTTTACATTTTTTTTCCCCAGTCCTGGGGATTGAACTCTGGGCCTGGGCCCAGGCCCTGTCTCTGAGTCTCTTTGTACTCAAGGCTAGCACTCTACCACTTGAGCCACAGCACCACTTCCAGCCTTTTTGTTTTTGTTTTTGTTTTTGAGTAGTTTATTGGAAATAAGAGTCTTACTGCCCAGTCTGGCTTCGAACCATGATTCTCAGATCTTAAGGTCCTGAATAGGTAGGATTACAGGCACGAGGCTCCAGCACCCGGCTCTATACTTTCTTTAAATCATCTCCCATTTTCTTTCTTTTTTCCCCCAGCATGTGGATATAACAAGTACATAAGGATTTTAAAAATTACATTATTAGGAGTGGGTAAGGGAAGGATGGGTAAGAGTGTTGAAAGGTGTAACATTGATCAAGATGCATTGAATTCATAAACTGCTTTGTTAAACTGTAACTTCTTGGTAGAACTACTCAAGGATATTTTTTTTTTTTTTTTGGTCCGGTTGTGGGGCCTGAACTCTGGGCCTGAGCACTGTCCCTCAGCTCTTCAGCTCAAGGCTAGTGCCCTACCACTTGAGCCACAGCGCCACTTCTGGTTTTTTTCTTTTTGCTTATGTGGTGCTGAGGAAACGAACCCAGGGCCTCAGGCATGCAAGGCAAGCGCTCTACCACTGAGCCAACTTCCCAGCCCTCAAGGATAATTTTTAAAGACAAAAAAATTGTGGCCAGGCTGCAGGCAGGTCGTACCTGTAATCCTAGCTACTCAGGAGGCTGAGATCTAAGGACTGAAGTTGGAAGCCAGCAGAAACTCCCTAACTCTGTCTCCAGTTAATCACCAAAACCGCCAGAAATGGAGCTGTGGCTCACATGATAGAGCGCTAAACTTGAGGAAAAAAACAGAGACAGCACCCAGGCCCTGAGTTCAAGCCCCAAGATTAGCACAAAAACAACAACAAAAATGCCTATATTATTAGAAACATACAGTTCATTCAGATTCTCCCTAAAATATTTTAAGGAGGTGAGAAAATTATGGCATTTATTTTATTTATTTAATTTAGATGTGGAGCATTCATTGAGTCACCAGTGAAACAATTTTCACTTTATTTTCAAACTTCTATTTGCATACATTAATTGCACAAAGTAAGCAGTTTGTGATGTTTCCTTGCATCCATATAATGTACTTTGATCATATTAATTCTTTCTGTTTTAATCCTCCTGTTGGCCCTTTTTTAAATGTTCTGCAAGCTTTAAAAATTGGATTTCATTCTTGCCTTTTCATACATATCATTTTCATGCATATAATTGTTATTTTCCTAAATATGTTATATTCAATTGCTTTTTAATTCATTTTTGGAAATAAAGACTGATTAATTTCAAAGAGCTTTAATTCCTGATTAAATAACTGTAATAATCAGAGAATTTACTGACTCAGAAAATCCTTAAAAACCATTTTCTAGAGTTTTAAATAAAAACAGATTTTATTATTTCCTTTTACCCTCACAAAACAACACAAAGGAAGATGCAAGACGTGTGTGTGTGTGTGTGTGTGTGTGTGTGGTATGTTTAAAATTTTGATTTTTTTTTCTCCCAGTGATAAGGTAACAGTAGACCAAGCAAATTGCATACTATCTCTACCTATTCATCTGTTTATAGCCTTAGCCTATCATCTATTAAAATTTGTATCTACCTTGATAAGGTTGTCTATTATTATAACCATGTACTCTTAAATTTGGGGCTGGTAAACTTTAAATTGCAAATTAGTTCATTGTAATCCTTGAAACTGTGTTCACCTTGGCTAACACATTAAGGGTGTAATTTTCGTGGCACTGTGCTAGTATTCAGTTTAAGTGACTTCAACATTAGTGCCTACCTTACTTATTTTCACTTACATCTACTTTTTTATTCTTGGCGTATTGCAGTTAAGATTATCATAGTTATCACCCTCCCACAGGTATTGCTGGCCAGGTTGCTCTTTAGCTCTTAATTCTGGGGCAGCTTAATCTCTCTCCTAAAACTTGACAGAGCACTTTCAACTTTTCACACAGTTGCTTAGTAAGAATTGTATCTGTAATTTGATTTTTATTTTAGCTTTGGATCCAAGGACATGCAAAGATAACCATTATTAGGAAGGGAGCCTCTGCATTTCACTAATTTGCTAAATTGATTCTAATGATCATCAAACACCTAAACTAAGTGAAGAAGACTCTATTAACCAAATTGAAGCCTTGGTTTTATTGCTTTTGCTGTGGAAAGAAGCTGGTGAAGTGTTGGACTCTGAATTCTGTCACCAACTCTATAACCTACAAAGCACCAGTGGAGCCCAGCGTGGCATCTTGAACAGGATCATGAAATTCCTGTTACCTTCAAATAGAGTAAAAGGACAAAAATTGGATTTTGAGAGACAAATTGTGTTTTAGACTAACCAAAACTTCTGATATTTAGAAGAATTTTATGTTACATGAATTTGTATAAAATTTCATTTATAAAGTTTAATAAATAGTACCCTTTTCAATATATGATGTTTTGAAAATTCCTGTTTGTATTTTAAGATTTCCTTGAGTAAGAGGCAATTTTTTTGGTATCCCTCCTCAAATGTACCAAATAGGGAATAATAAATGTAAAACAATATGTCCTCCTTTGAGGTAACTCATTTACTATTTTAAAATAATTTTGCTTACTAATAGCATAACACCTTTAAGAATAATGCCCAGAGGTTGGCGCCAGTGGCTCATACCTGCAATCCTAGCTACTCTGGAGGCTGAGATCTGAGGATCACGATTTGAAGCCAGCTCAGGCAGAAAAGTCCCCAGGTGACTCTTATCTCCAATTAACCATTCAAAAACCAGAATAAAGCTGTGACTCAAAGTGGTAGAGCACTAGCCTTGAGCAAAAAGAGGTCAGGGACAGCACCCAAGTCCTGAGTTCAAGCTCCACAACCAACAAAAAATAAATAATGCCAGAAATCCCTCTGAAAATCCTTTATATAATGTAAATAACATCATACAATTAGAAAAATCAGTGTTGCAAATTTCACATAAGTGTCCATGGTTAAAGAAAAGTAATATGAACAGGTTTATGAAAAAGAATCATCTTCCTGTTCCTTTGACTCCAGCCCTTTCCCTTAAACTAACTTTTTCTGTTATAGTTGTCTTAGTGTGTACAAAGTAGCGTTTTCTTATGGATGTGACTTGTATTAGACAATCATGAGTATGAGCCATTGGCACCTTGCTTATGAATGGCTTTGTATATTAGCTTTTGCAACAACTTTGCTATTATTTATTATTAATTCAGCCTCAAATTACAAAACAAAGTTACATAATAGAAGTATATCCTTGTAGAGTCACTTTTATGATACTGTTCAAATCATAACTAATGTGAAAGTATTTTATATACTTACCTTGTTATCAAAAGTTAAACAAGCTTTAAGATCTCTTTTCTGACACAAAGTGCAACAGATATAATTTCAGAGCCCTGATTGCAGTTTCAAGTCTTCCCTATACTTCTCATATTGTAGATTATTATTTTTTTAAACATTTTTATAGTTCTGGGATTCAAGAAAAGATAAACATGTACACCTTCTACAGACAGTAATAAAAAAACATAAGTTGGCGAACTTTGAGGATTTTTTTATGGTATTAGTGTTCAAATGCATGTCCTCATGCTTGCTTAGTTGGTGCTCTACCATTTTAGCCACACCGTAGGCCCTGCACTTTTCCTGATAATTTTAGAGATGTTATGTAATGAGCTTTTCTGCCGAGGCTGGCCTTGTACAGTGATCCTACAAATCTCAGCCTTCTCAATAGCTAGGTGAAGACCACAAAAAAAGAAAAAAAAGAAGAAGATGTTTGAGCTGGGTGCAGGTGGCTCACGTTTGTAATCCTAGCTACTCACAGAGCTGAGATCTAAGGATCACAGTTCTAAGCTAGCATAGGCAGCAAAGGCTGTGAGACTCTTCAATGAAAACCAAAAAGCCAGAAAAAGAACTGTGGCTCAAGTGGTGGAGTGCTACCTTGAGCAAAAAAGTTCAGAGACAGTGTCCAGGCCCTAAGTTCAAGTCCCAAATATCCTTTTTTTTTATATATAGTTTTTTTTTTTTTTTGTCGGTCATGGGGCTTGAACTCTGGGCCTGGGCGTTGTCCCTCAGCTCTTCAACTCAAGGCGAGCGCTCTACCACTTGAGCTACAGCGCCACTTCCTCCTTTTTTTTTTTTTAATAAAAAATATTTGAGTAGTCGTGGAGATGGGAGGGCAGGGATAATAAGGGGAAACAAAGGAGGAGGCAACAATGCTTGATAAGAAATGTACTCATTACCTTGCTCGTGTAATGGTAACCCCTCTGTACAGTATTTTCACAATAAAAAAACTTATTAATAAAAAAATATTTGAAGTAGATTTTAGAAGTTAGAACCCAAAGTTCACCAAGTGGGCATTTCATGTAGAGAACACAGCCTGTGCTCGGCGTGGCCGTGGAAGTGCTTGCAGGTGGCTCTGAGCGCTGGGAGTGGTAGGTGAGGTTCCCTTTTAGGCAGGTTATAAGTAGCCCTGTGCCCCATATCCTGAAAAGGTGGTTTGAGATGCAAATCTCAGCACAAAGCTGCAATCAAATTAGACTAAGACATTTAGTAATGCTGAATCCTATCAAGTCATTTACTTTTGGTAGTAAATTAGCCGTCTAAGAGGAACATTTTACATCTCCTTTCTTATATTTACATCTCCCTTTTGCACTTGTGCAAAATGAATTGAGACCTCAGTGATTTCAGATTTTAGAGGTTTTCTGACTGGAAAGGCTTTTATCTTAAAAAGGTATTGGACACCTGGCGTCTATAATCCATCTATAATCCCAGCACTCGGGATGTTAAGGTAGGAGGATTACTACTGCCTGGGCTATCTAAGAGAGACTTTGTCTCAAAAAGAGAAGGTACTGAAATGGTGTAAAAGGATGATTTTTATCTTTACAAACTATAATTGTTTTTGCCAGTTGCCTATTAAGTTAGCAAACATTCATGATTTCTGAACCTTTTCATTTTCTTTATTTTTTTAGTGGACAGAAGACTGTCAAAAATCAACTTATCCTCCTTCTGGACCAACGTGAGTAAACATCAGATAATCAAAACTCAGACCTGTGCAGAGGTTTTTGAGTTTTTAATGTGGTATACTCCACAAAAATAATTGTAGTGAATAAATACTTAAATAGTAATTTCCAGCCTGAGACAAAGATTGACTTCCTTAGGTTTGTTTTTTATGAATCTGTCTCAGATCTTGAACAAATTGAAAATAAAAAATCCATGGTTAAAATGTTCATTTCTTGGAACTGGAGGTATGACTCAATTGATAGAGCACCAGACTTGAGTGAAAAGCCAAGTGAGAGCATAAATACCCTGATTTCAAGCCCCAGAGCCTCCAATTAACTACCAAAAAGATGGAAGTGGCTCAGTTGGTAAGGTGCTAGCCTTGAGCAAAAAACTCACAGATAATGCCAAGGCTCCTGAGTCAAGCCTGGGACTAGGGGGAAAAAGAGTTTCATGGCCTTTTCTGCCCAGGCCAGCTTCAAACTCTGATCCTCAGACCTCAGCCATCGCAATAGGTAGGATTATAGGCATGAGCCACCTGCACCCAACTAAGGTTTTCAGGTTTTATAACATTTCTAATTTACATACGTTATACTGCTCTCTTTTGAGGTAGACATTCTAAATAGATTCTGTCCCTGGCTCATTGGATCCCAGATTTCTGCCCTGTCTCCATGTAGCATTTCTTTTCTGTGCTCATTGCTTAGTTTCTGCTGTCTTGTTTGTATACATGGGTGTTACGCACCTGAACTAGTTTCTGAGCCACCTTGGGTGCCATGTAGACTCAGAGAATATGATTGAAATGATGACCTGGATGTGTAATTGTTCTCTGTGAAGTAGGAAACCATACTATATTGATTACCAGTCATGAGTGATTGACTGAATGAAACTGTAATAATCCAAATTCTTTTTTTTTTTAAGTATCGAAGTGGAACTCAGGGCCTTGAGCTTGTTGGACAAGTGCTTTACTACTTTAGTCATGCCTCCAGCCCTTTGTGCTTTGGATTATTTTTCAAATACTTTTCAAACCTAGGACTAGTCTCAGATCAAAATCCTACTATGGCTGCCTATAGCTGACATTAGAGCTATTAACCAGCTAGCTGGCTTGTTTGTTGAAATGGGGTCTTCCTAACCTGTTTTTTGTTGCTGTTGGTGGTGGTGGTGGTTTTGGCCTGAGCCAAAAAGATCTTGTTTCTTACCTTCTAAGTAGCTGGGATTACAACATGATATAACACCCCTGTTCTCCAAATTATTTTAGTTTACTCACCTTTATTTAAATCTTTCAAGCTAACTAGTTTTGTTGCTGTCCTGAAGCCAGTGTATCTTCCAGCTTGTTTGCTCCTCAATAGCCTGATCTTACGTCTTCCTTTCTTTTACCTCTAGTGCCATGTTGGCCTTTGCTGCCTTATTGTCTCTTTGAGGGTCTCCCTGCCCTCAAGTAACTGACCATTTAATAAATACTTTCAACATTGAAGCCTTTATTTCTGCTCCTTTTTAATGTGTACTTTGCTTGTGCCTGTGAGTTAATTGCCCTACAAACTATAAACCTTCCCTGGTTGGGAACTGAACTGATTTTGTATTGCTCTGTGTGTGTTTGTGTGTGTCAGTGTCTGTGTGTCTCCCTGTGTGTGCATCTGTATATACACTGAAATCTATGCACAGCTGACATTGATTTCATGTGCATGTATACTTCCCCCCTTGCCTTGATATTTCCACTGGATTTCTTCTTGTCAGCATCCTGTTTTCCTGTACCAAAATCCTCCAGTCTTTCTGTACTATGTCTGTGTGGATCTGAGATCTGGCAGACCAGGCAGCATTCCTGTCCCTTTGGATGACAAGCAGGCTTTCTGGCCCTATGACTTCATCCTTTTCATTCAAGTACACAAATTTTAGTGACTTGCTCGGGCAACTGTGAGGGAGGAAAGGGACACCTGTTCATCTAGCCTGACCAGTCACATCAGCGCAGAGATGCAGGAAGTGAGAGCCATACCATTCTTGTGTCCATCTGAGTTCCATTAAGCATTTCTTTTCTACTGCTCACTGGGCACTTAGTGCTCTCTTATTTGCACATGTGTGTGTTGTCACTTGAAATAGTTTGCAAGCCACTTGAAGAGCCATGTGGATTCAGACAGTATGACTTATGATGATCTAGATATAACAATATGCTAAATCTCAAAAGTAATGAAATTATTTTAATTCTGTGGGGAAAAGTGGGAAAACATACTAAGGTGATTGCTGTTGATTGAGCATCAATTCTGCTAAGTTGTGTGTGTGTGTGTGTGTGTGTGTTGTTGTTGTTGTTGTTGCTGCTGCTGTTTTGCTATTCCTGGGGCTTGAGCTCAGGGCCTGGACACTGTCCCTGAGCTTCTTTTGCTCAAGGCTAGCACTCTACCACTTGAGCAACAACATCACTTCAGGCTTCTTCTGTTTATGTGGTACTGAGGAATGGAACCCAGGGCTTCATGCATACTAGGCAAGCATTCTACCACTGAGCTACATTTCCAGCTCATGGAATACATTTCTTATGGCAGTGTCAGCAATATGCATAGCCCCAAGTGTGTCATTATTGCTGCACCTGGATATCCAAATGCATGCGTGGATGGATGGAGAGCTGGACTATCTACCTATAACAGAGGCAGTAGATGGTTGAACTGTGGGACAGAATTTTGTATGTGAAATTATGATTAATCAGAAACAGCTTGGTGTGGGGCTGGGAAGGTAGTTCAGTGGTAGAGCGCTTGTCTTGCATGCATGAGGCCCTGGGTTCGATTCCTCAGTACCACATAAGCAAAAAGAAAAAACCCGGAAGTGGTGCTGTGGCTCAAGTGGTAGACGCTAGCTTTGAGCTGAAGAGCTGAGAGACAACGCCCAGGCCCAGAGTTCAGGCCCCACAACCGGACACACACACACACTCACACACACACACACACACACACACACAAAAGAAACAGCTTGGTGTGATGAAGAGCTGTTTTCTAAGATTTAAGTATCATGTAGATAAGAAAAGCAACTAGAGAACCTGAAATTTTCCCCCCATCCTAGGACTTGAACTCTGGGCCTGGGTGCTGTCCCTGAGCTCCTTTTGCTCTAGGCTATTACTCTATCACTTGAGCCACAGAGCCACTTTGGCTTTTTCTGTGAATAAAAAGGAGATAAGAGCCAGGCACTGGTGGCTCACACCTGTAATCCTAGCTACTCAGGAGGCTGAGATCTGAGGATCATGGTTCAGTCAGTAGGAAAGTCTGTGTGAGACCCTTTATCTCCAATAAATCACTAGAAAACTGGAAGTGGCACTGTGGCTCAAGTGGTAGAACATTCGCCTTGAGCTGAAGTGACAGCGCACAGGCCCAGAGTTGAAGCCCCATGACCAACTAAAAAACACCAAGACAAAACAAACAAACAAAAAAAAAAGGGAGATAAGTGTCTCACAGACTTTCTTGCCCAGGCTAGCTTTGAACCACGATCCTCAGATCTCAGCCTCCTGAGTAGCTTGGATTACAGGCATGAGCCACTGGCACCCAGTCTAAAAATGTTTAAAAAAGAATAACATTTATGCATTGTGATTTTGTTTAAATGTATATGCCCAGAATTGAGTGTCTTTTTCATTGCTATCTAAATCACAGCAGCTGCTGGTTAATAATTTCATAAAACTTCATACATGAACCAGGTCCCCAGATTCAGCAGCATTACTTAGAAGTATTCAGTTACACAGAAAATTATGTTTAGGAAATAACCTATCTCCTGTTATAGCAAAAGTTTAGATAACATATGCATTTAAGAGCCTGATAACATTGCAACACAGAACAGCATGTCCACTGCTTTTCTCTGGAACAGAGCAATAAGGGATCGGATAATAGCTATGTTCAGGTGTAGCTTTAAGTTGATCAATAGGGGCTGGGAAGATGGCTCAGTGGTAGAGCGCTTGCCTTGTATGCCTGAGGCCTTGGGTTCGATTCCTTAGCACCACATAAGCAAAAAGAACAAAGAGCCGGAAGTGGCGCTGTGGTTCCAGTGGTAGAGCACTAGCCTTGAGCTGAGGGACAGCGCCCAGGCCCAGAGTTCAGGCCCCACGACCGGACCCCCCCAAAAAAGTTGATCAATAACTGAATGCTCCATCCTTAAAAGCAATTTCAATTTGGTAAAAAGTGCCAGAAAATAATGTTCCAGTAGTGAC